ATACTAAAGTGCTTTTTAACATGCCGAGTAAAGCACTTAAGAGTATATAACTTTAAAAGTGCGAGATCCACGCGAAAACACGGTTTTGTTGGATATACAAAAATCTGAACATAGGGTTCTGAAATATTTTGTTTGCAATGTCAGCAAAAAGCATAATATTTCTATTGAACAATGAATTATGCTCATTTGAAACGTAATGAACAGAAAGAAATATGTACTTTGTTAATAAATAGTAAGTGTCATTAATTAAATACGTATTGGATATTTCCACACGGCTACATGTATAAAGCAGTGTGTACTAAGGACAGTTTTACATCAGTCACATTCACCCCTAATTTTAATTCAATTAGTTCATTATAAATTCAAATATTTGTATTAACAGTATTGTATTTCGTCAACTGTATGCTATTGTTTTTAAATTAACCTCCTTTCCCGTTGTAGCAGGCATTGGTTTAACGAAACAATAGACTCATACATTCGTTTCTTTGAAAGGAAAGTTTTCTGACCCCGCATGAATGCAAGAGGAATTTTTCACTTCAAACTATCCGCATTCCATCAACTTCCAACTGCAGACATGACTCTCAACTCCGGACTTACCTTAAAACCTTTAAACTGACGAACGTGGATCGTTAAAATTGGTTTTACTTCACAAAGATCCGTATCGAAAAGTTAAAACAAATCTCGGTTCGAAGGTTTGTATGTAAGTAGAGATCTCTTTGAGTTGCATCTTTTTTAGCTGTTTGTGGTTGCTTTAGTTTCTCAGCTTTGAAAACTGTCTTATAATTTGTGATGTGTTTTTGTTGAGTAACAAAAGGAAGTATTTCATGTGTTTTAAATAATATAGCTAGGCAGCTGCAAGGTGTTTGTACGTCCGTAATCTATCCGCAACATGTTTGTTGTTTTTTCAGAAAAATCTTTGCCTTAAAGAACTATAGTGAAAGGTTTGTACTTCGTAGGGTCGTGTTTCGTTGTCACCTCATGTGTGTGTGGAGCGGATGTGGTATTGTCTGACTGAGTTATGGTATATTAGGTCAGAGATGGGTAGATCAACAGATTGAGAACAAAAACTGTTCTACAACAGCACCTTAGCGCCTCTGATTTCCCACCTTGCAATTACATCTCCTTTTTCTAGTCGTTCCCTCAAGAGTATAGCAGTTTCCTACCAACGTGCACTCTCTCTGAGAGCCAAATTGGAGAGGGCGAGAGAGAACCAGGTGCTACTGAAGATGGTGCGAGGGATGGCAATGCGTGACGGCTGAGGACCTGGCTCCGTGTTAAGTCCATTCCACTGTGTGTAGAAGGAGCGTGGGGGCCGGAACTTCCAACTGCTTACTGTCAGCAGGCAACAAAGTGGGCCTCAGGAGAGGAGTAGAGTACATCGACTAATTCCTGTCTTAGCTAATTCCATTTAGAGTTTGAACACATTTTTTTCGGATTGTGGCGTAGATATAATTGTCAACGCGATACGACGTGGAGTTAGTTTGTCCACTCTATACGTTATGTGCAGAGACCTTTCAGCCATCTTCTGTAACTCATATGACAGCAAGTAGAGCTTAGCACTTTCATGCACGCTTGTCTTACACTTTAGCCTTGTCTGCAAAATGAACACGTCCATTTCTAAATAGCATTTATTATGACTTTGAAAGTACACAATATTAGAGTCATAACAAATATACGATACACAATATACTCTCCGATTAAAAATCGAATATCTTACGTAAAATATAAATTGCATTAGCCCAAAAATTTAAAAATTATTAAAAGCAAGAAAAAATATCACATTAAAATATGATTAAAATATTATTCGCAAATGTTCTATGACACTGATGAATCGTATCATTTTCTGATTGTATCATTTGCCAGAATCTGTTAAATTCAAACCGGAATTTTATTTCAGAATTACTAATGTTTTCATTGTTTTGAGATATCTTACGGAATTCTACAAATGTAATAATTTCTATGTAAACGAGAAAAAAGCGCCTCTTCCGTAATATGTTAAATAAAACAGTTTAAAATTCAAAACTTAACAGTCCACACATTGCAATGTATTCATAAAGTGGACTTAATTTTTAATTTAGTTAACTGTTGTTACTATTACATTTCTCTCATGTCCCAAAATGGAGCGAGAAAATTAACGCGAAACAAATTTTCATTTAGTAAAATTATCTTTATCTTCTGATTCATTTTCTCATTTTGTTCTCTTATGATAGCTAAATCCAGTCAAAATAATTAATACTATAATTACGATTTAAATTCCACTCCTGAACGTCAATATTCTCTTGAATAATACAAAGATTATTATAAGTACGATCGTAAATATAGTGTACAACGCAACAAATATTTGTGAAATACAAAAAGGTAAGTGATGGAGTTCATATTTACTTTTACTTTTTCAATCCAGTCAGCTTAGACGCCACGTTTGTCACAGAAATACAAAATAAAATTTGCGAGGTCATTATGGATTCAAATTTTAGACTCTCACAATAATCGCAACAGAATAACAAACTGAAATGAAGTATCTTAGACATAGGGCCGGTACGAAAAGAAGAGGCCACATCCAAAACTAGAAAATAAGAAAATCACCTAACATGTACGCGAACAACGATAAACGTGAGTAGATCATCGCATGTGGACAGGCAGGATACTCTTCTAACCCATAACACATACACTCAGAGGTTAAAAATGATGTGTGGGAAGACCATCATGATGGTGATTGAACCGAGACTGAAAAGAACACGCAATTACCTAAATGCCCAATACCTCAAGAAATCTGGAACTTATCCAAGATTTAACATTTTTATGCCGACATTCTTTTGCTGTATTAGATTGTTGAGTACCATGTATATACTCGTATATACAAACATCATTATCATAATTACCACCGGGCAAGTTGGACTGTGCCCCGAAGCCCCGAGTTTAGAGCACGTGTAAGGGGAAAAATACGTCATTGGACGTTTCATTTTAAAAATTGAAAAATTAAACCTTAAATTTAATTTACCAAGAAAATTATCAAGAGTTAAGATTAAAATAAAAAGTCGTGTGCCCCACTACTGTGCGTTGCCACGGGGCCAACAACTCTCAAGATACAGCCGTGAAAGCTATTCAACATGAAACTATCGCACTAAGTTACTCCAATGCTAACTTTCAAAAGAAGTAAGATTAATAGCTATCTCAGTGAAGTTCATAAACGTTTTACGGAGCCTTCATTGTTGTTTCTACGCTTACTGCACTTCACATCCTGATTCCTGTACTACCGCCACTGCTGCAACTTATGCAAACCTGACAGTTTAAGGACGGCATAAGGTCGTCGCGGGAACTTCGTAGAGAAATTGTCCCGGGTACCGCCTCCACCCCCCACCCCCCCGAGAGGGGACCCGGACGCGTGGAGCGAAGATCTCAAGATGGAGGCCGCCCCGCGACCCTGGGTGGAAGCACCCCAGCCGCAATCGACCTTGCCTACTCGACCGCGACGTCACGATTAAGCACATATCTCGCACTTTAAATGTAGGCTGCGAGTAGAAAGTGCAAGGTAGATTTGTTCAACGGTCATAAGTTGCAGGAATTGAAGCGTTTAACTGTATGTAATGAGCTGCATTTTGATATATGCGCTACACATGAGTGGGGAAAGGTGTGAAAAACAAGATAAAATGAAGCTTATAACGTGTTTGGTGTGATGTCATGAAAGCTATTTGAGTACGTTCAAACTTGAATATTAAGGAAATATACTTTTTCATTTCATTGGATGGTCGTTCGATTTAATATAGAAAAGAACTATAGAGTTTTTCAATGAATAGAAAATAAAATTTTTAAATTATTACGTGAATTAGAATATACTTGACATAGAAGGCAACATCTGAAATAATTCATTACATTCCTCGGTGAGATTATGATGAGACTAAATACAATACAAAATGTGTTACTAAATTTGGAAAAGAAAACTGAATTTTTCGAGTTTAAATGTATGCATTTTACACATATATTTCATATTGTAATTTATTAACAGTTATTAAACTATTTAATTTAAGTATTATTAACTCTATTAAGTATATTGTTCAGTCGTATATTTCTAAGTCGTATAGTTCTTTCTTAGAAAAAACACAATTTCTGTACTCGAACCAATAATATTGTACATTATCTGTAACAGTCGCCAATATTTAGGTATTTATAGTACAAATATTTAGTTATTTATGATACGGGTCATAAAAGTGACATTTTATTTTGCGAGAAGAAAAGACAAAACAAAATTTTGCGAATTCGATAGGCCTATCCGTCTCGTGCATCAATCCTACGAGGGAAATAAAATCACTTTTATCACGTGGGTCTTACGCTATTTTTGGTCAGCCTTACTGACTTATTTTATTTTAAATCAAGTTACTGAATGATATATTGATGACAGTAGTATCTGATGCGGGTATACCAAAGGAATTTTTTTTCTTTGTTACATTTACAAATTTATCTGAACATTTGAGCATCGAACCACTTTTAGCATCACTACTAAAACCTAACATTTTAATCCGCTATGCATGCCCTGAAAGAGCCGTAGTTACTGAGTAGCGATAAGCATCAAACAATGTGTAATACATTATTCGTAGTTACCGTTGCAATCAAACTTCATCTTCTTAGTAAAAATTATTACAACTAAACACTCAACTAATATTTCCTATATTCAATCACAAACCGCTGAAACACAAATTACTAAATTCGGAAGTTTATTTTGGGACGAACAACAATATATTATTCATTACGTGCTCGGAGTCAGTTTCTTTTGTTGTCTACATCAAATGTGAAATCATTTTTTAACATTTATAGTGTAATGCGTTTCACTTCGTACACCATTTTATTATGAAGATTAGGATATAATAACTTCGTAAAGTACGATAACCTTATTCCCCTACATACCTATTATTTTGAACAGTTCAATAGAAATATAATTGCGAATTCATCGCGTAGAGGAAACTCTAACAAAATAACCTCTCATCTGTAAAAAAAGACCATCTTACCTGGTTTGGTTGGCCGTCGTTCATGAAAAGACTGCACATTTTCTGCCGTGGCACTTACAAGCCATTTACAACGTGCAGATTGGGGGGTAGTAAATAACTGGTGTATTGCTGTAATAGTATATAAAATCCAAAGACAATTTGCTCTTATTTTTACAACTCAGCAAATGGACGATTAACACGTGGCAATTTCTTTTTAAGAGCCCTTTCTCGCATCAATATCTTGGATCGCACAAACTCGTCAGTTGTCCTCAAGCGGTTAAATTAAGTTATGCTTACCATTGGAGTTAAACTGAAAGGGTGCCTTCGAGAATTGATGTTCTATTAAACACATATAATTGAATATGTAATTCTCGCTATGAAAAAATGTATCCCGAATGATTAACCTCAAGTTTTCTGTATCTCGCGATTTATTCATAGATTCTAATATTTTCTGGGCTTCATCTCAATGTTAAAATAGAAGTCTATGATTAATTAAGAAAAAACGGATTATGATGCACCACTAATCTGCGCAGTATACGATTATGAAGAAGGCTATCCGTTTCTTTTTGCTACCAAATATTTCAAAATTATCTATTACGACGTTTTATTACCAACAAACTGTAAAAAAACACGCAGAATACAAGTCAGAGAGTTCTATAGATCCGTTAGATCCACAGGAATTCGGAAAAAATGCAAAAATATCTATATTCCTAATTTCCAATACGCTGAGAAATTGAAGAAAATGTGGAACCTCCGAGCAGGTGATAAATGTCTACAGCTTTGTTAAAAATACAGGAACTTCGAGAAAATTCAAAATTAATGAAAGAGTTTCGATGTTGACTGAAAAATCCAAATATTTGATTATGTCCTTCCACTTATTTTCAAACTACGCCTACAGACTGAATTTTCATAATTAGAGCGTAACAGCAGATGTCGTGCGATAGAAGGTCCCAAAGGAGAAGCCGCCCGTCATTAAATATTTGCTATAAATGTGTTGCGTTATGGAATTTTTCATATTTTTGTTTCATAAAGTACTGTTGTGCAGTATATCCGCACATATTATTCTGTTTTATCCCAGTAATCGTTAAAATGATTTTGATAACAAATTAATTTATTGTAGTGTTATGGACGAGTATTTTATTTGTTGTTCTTAAGCAGGTGTCTTTTATTTTTTGGGAAACCGTTTTGTGCAGTTTTTCAAAAAGCAATGTTGCTGCAGGTCACTAGTATTAGTTATTTTCATAGTAATATTAATGTTTTACAGGACTATTGTTCTAATTTTGATTTTCTGAATTACGGGTATTCGTTAATCACTGAATATGTTCATTATTATATGATTTTTGAATTCACTAAATGTACTGTCAGAATTTTTTAAAATTCATTAAATGTAATGAAGTGTTGTTATTAACCGTTATTTTGAAAAAAGAAGGTGCAACAATAAATAGCAATAAAGAAGTATTATGCTTTCATTGGTTAAAAACGTTTTAAAAGAATTTTATAATGAATTAAATTCTACTTTGCAATATTAATGCAGGGGTCAGCATTTTGTTAGTGAAGGTAAACAGTTCTGATCTGACTATATTTTAGGGAGTGCAATTCTTCCCAGAATTAGTTCCGAATTTCGAGGATTCCTGACATAGTGTGTCATAGTTTCACAATGATTCACATTATTACTGAACATTGATAGATTGAGAGAACTAAATGATGACTCTGAAACCTCCAAGTCGTGCCAACTCGTAGTCATTGAAGAGTGAATTGTGAAGTCTTTCCTCCAGAGGGTCATTGAAAGTCCGTCGCAGAATTGACTGAACGTTCATTTAAAAGTCCAGATTTCCTGCATCACGAGAGTGACTTGAATTAACGAACAGCAAACAGTAGGTCGAAATCAACCGAAAGTGTACGATGCATATTTTTAAAACTCCTCATTAAAATTTCCCATGAGTAGAATAGACATTTTGCTCTTCCATGATGTTATAAATCGGTTATTTCAGTTAAACTTGTTGGGGCCCGGAAGATAACATTTGAGAAAGAAGTACATACAGTTTTTTTTATAAAATACAATATTTACAATATAAATGTTATAGGAAAAAACTAAATCAAAGTTATTTGAGAAATCCGTTTAATATTTTATTCTAAATTTTTATGTCGGATTAGCTAGTTTTAGATATTTGTTTATTGCTGACAGCGAGATTAGAACGCTTGTATATAAAAAAAACAAAGGAGCTCTTGCAAATTAAATTCTTCTAAATGTGCTTTATAAGAATACTTGTAGATTCAGAGGTACTAAGCATATCATTGACCACTAATGCAATAGAAACTTAAATTTTACTTACAAAGGGCATATTAAAAGATTTTGTCTGCAGTTTGCAGTTGCAGTTCGCAGTTTGATAGAGTTTTGCACAATATAGCTCCAATATTATAATATCAGAATATACAGCATATAATTATCATTTTACAATTATTATCATTTTACGTCATCGTTACAAAAAACAAGAAAGTTTGGTCGCAATTTAATACCATTAGTTTATTTATTTATATAAACATGCTCTATGTTGAATAATAAGAAAAAAGGCAAGTAAAGAACTGAAACAAATGTAGCATTTCATTATTCTCTCCAGCCTCATTATTATTTCACAATATTTTTTTATTTTATTTTAATGTCTTTGTCATTGCCTTCTGGCGCGGCGACATTTGAGCGAATCAGCAGAAGCTCCGCGTGCAATGTCATAACGCGACACCAATCAGTGAGAGTGAGGCCCAGTCTGATGTCAGTTGACGTGAACAAAATCTGCCCGGAATGAAACGGGTTAAATCGTCATGACAGCATGTTGGGCAACGACAACAGCAGCAAGGTCACGAACAGAGCAGAAGGCTGCAGCCTGCCAAGTCAACCTGACCTCGCGTCTCGAGTCAGGTCTTCTTGAACGGAAACGCCCGATTGCATCCCGCGATCAGGTTTCCCTTCAACCCTCTTCCCTGATATTCCTCATTGACTTTTTGCTACCTGAGAAGGCGTAGCCCGACTGCATCGCGGTTGGTGATCTGGCACGGGGAAGGAGGAAACATTTGAGTTGAGTTTCCATTTTGAGAAACGCAAGTAGATGTTCTCGCACCAGTTGAGAGGAAATCTCGAACAGGTGAAATTGTCAGAAGTGTCGGAATTAGTATATATGTAATCTAACAAAAATAAACAAATTTTAATTTTGTACATTAAACAGGAAGATCGTGAACCCCTTTTCCCTCTTTCTTAAAGCTGTCCACAATACGAGTAACAAGCTTCTTTGGAATATCTGACCACCACACATATAAAGAGCAGAGTTATACAAAATGAGCAACATTAAGATTATCATTTGTTCTTTTTCTCTTTCACGTTCTTCAAATAAGAATGCGAAAGTATTAGATTTGGAAGCAGAGGTACCTAGCAAGCTGTTCCTTGTACTCACAAGGAAAACCGAACAAGATGCAATCGGTCCATAGGTTTTTGGTGAGGAAGGTGAAGTTCAGGCTTAGGAGAAGTTAACCGAGTGATGCCATAGGGATATGTCCCTCACGGACCCAGAATCATCTGACCGTTCCGACCGCGGTGTGTGACTAGCTGGCAGCTAACCTCGCCTAGTAATGGAAAATTTCACCAAAATGTTTTCGACAAAAGTCATCAATATTTAAAATATCGCTGTTTTAAATTTGATGTAACATTTTGAAGTAAAATGTTCTAGTTGTAATATGATACATAAAACGTCAATATTAGTTCAAAATATAATCTGCTTTAAATTTGACTGTCATTTTCATTTTCTAATCAATGTTCTATGTACTCAAGGTTCAAAATGTAGTTTAACGACATCACAACGTACAAAATAATCAAAAAATATTTTGCAAGCAATCCACACTAGATTCTGGAAATTTTATTTATATCATGAGAAATTGTTTTTGAAAACGATGTATCTGAAGAAATATATTAATCTGTAGAAAACATGAAAATAAAAAATTATATGTTATAATATCTACGTTTCTACTCGAAAATATCGATGATTTAAAACATCGAGATTTTTTTGCCCTCCCTAACCACGCAGCAATGCGTGAGTAGTCGCACGCATGGGGCACGTGACGAGCCCACACCCTCAGGCGCTGACGCAGGCTTGGGCGATGGCTGCTGACTCCTCTCGTTGAGTACGAAAGCCTCGCTTGACAATAAACAACATTACGAGGAAAGATATGAACCTATTATGTACTCTCCTATGTCATATATTGGCTCTATAAATTCACCTACATGAATTCTCTACAAATTACAACTCTATAAATTCAACGTCGAAATTTAAAAAAAGAGAATGTGTGGCATATCAAAACTTTTCCTCGTCTTAGTTTTGTGAAATGTATATTTTGGATGTTGCAACGATTGGGAGAAAATGTAATGAATTACTAGTAATATAGTCCGATGTAAGTTGGAAGTAAGGCGAAAATTTGCCTGACGGCTGATCTGCCGATAACTTTGATACACTAAAAATTGTGAATATATTTCACTTATATTAAAATATCGCCATTTATTTGTAAGCAATTAAACAAAAATGAAAGTTTATGAGCTGTACAATAATACAATTTTATATATCTTTTACTCTAAAGCTGTTCATAGATTTGATGAGTTTACTAGTGACAAAGTCCTTATGATACATCAGTGATTTTCGCACTGGGCTGGTTAGGATGGTAAATCCTCAGTGATAGTGCCGAACGAGAACGGCGAGTAAGTTTGATGATTTTACGACAAAAACTCTGCGCAGCAAACGGAACCACGTCACAATATCCTTCTGTCATGGCCACCTAAAGTTTCATTCATTTCTGACCAGTTTCAACTTGTCTCACGTTCATTTGTATGAAGGTTTGTTGTGATCTGGGTACTGATGCCATTGTGAAGCAACGGAGCAATAGTCTCGCAAGTCTAGTGCATGTTTTTATCACCGAGAGTGGCAGTGTTCTTCCATCGCTGGATAATGAGAGCCAAGTCAATCGCTAAGTTCCCGACACGTGCGATAGTATAGTGCGTGTAACAACTGTAGGTGAATACAGAACAAGGAAGAGGAAGGAAAGGTCGCGCGCGCTCTGTGTCCCGCTTGTTACAATACTGTTCCAGCATTCGCTTGGCATTAGTCGCAGAAATCACAGAAAACTACCGATCAGAATTCTCCGCTAGAATTCTCCTGCATTCAGCGTCTGAATTCGATCCAGTTATGTAGTTAATGTCGAAAATGCTG